CAGCAGGCAGCAGCCATGGAAGGGTTTGAGTCTCCCCTGCCATGCCACCTCCAAACATGTTCATCCCTAGGAGATGAGGATGGAAGAGTCTCCCGCTGCCTGCCAGAGGAGCTCTGCTGTCAGAGAGAGCTGCTTGTGTTTACAGGGGTCTTCGGTTTACCCCCGATCTCTGGCACCTTCTTCACGGGAGGAAGGTACCGGCTGTAGATACGGAAGAGGCACTGAAAATGTGGGCAGGGACCTGCCATCTCCAGTCATCCCACCCCCCCTCCTCCCACATCTTGTTATTTAAGCAACAGTAATCCCTCCAGACCCTAAACAGTGACTACCCAAGGTACTGTGGTTCACTCGTCCTGTGAGCCCGTATCCTGTAGTGATGGTACTAGCTTTTGCACAGTAAATGCTGTAGTATATGAGACTGTAAATATTAGTGTTTAGAATCCATTGGGGTTTTTTTGATGCATGTCTGAAACCGATGGGTTTATAGGAAAAAGGAAAGTGCAAAACAGTATATGTAAAATTCACAACCCGTGACAACGTTGTTCCGAGTGCTGGAAGAAAGGAGGAGGCTCAGGGCAGCTGAGTGGGCGCTGGCTGGGGAGCAGGTGCAGGAGCCAGCAGGTCCATTTCTGGAGTTGGAAATGGGAACCAGGAAGGAGCCCTGTGCCCCACCGAGCCACCTCATCCCCCCCACCCTGCTCTTCTTTCCTCTCACTGTTGCCAAATGTTTTTTTTCAGAGGGTCCCCATCTGACCAACCCTTGGTGCTGTGCTTTGTGACCCACACTTTGGCAGGAGCCCCAGCAAGTCCCCATCTCCAGTCCCAGCAAGGCAGGGGCAGCCTGGCCTGGAAGAGCAACAGGGTGGGGGTCTCATTTCCCACACATGCAGTGTTAACCCCAATCTGTTCAGTGTGCCTTATTCAGCCCCTCTGTCCCCTATCCATGTCCCCCCTGGGGTGTCCTTGCCAGTGCAGCCCCAGCCAGGCCATTTCACATCCCTCCTCTGTGTCCTCATCTGGTGGTTTTACAGTGTGGATCATGGGTTTGAGCATGTGCTGTAGGTCTGAGCAGCCCGTGAGACCTTTCTCAGCACCATGTTGTGTGGTCAAAGGTTTTTAGAGAGTTCTGTCTAACAGAATCATGTGGGTTTAGGGCAGCAGCTGGCAAGGAGTACAGATGGGGTGTTTTGCAGAGCATCCTTAACTTATTTCTCAATAGCAGCTCCATGTTCGGTAAAGCCTCTATTTATTCTTGGTGAATCAGAGTTGCAAGCACTTCCTTCTACAAACAGATTGCAAAGTCTTGGCCAGCTCCCTGCAGATGGCAGCTCTATCAGCAGGAGGGAACAACAACAGCCTTGCACCTTCACAGGATTGTACCGAGTTTGATTATTTTCCAGAAGGTTTAGACACAGGACTTGTGCAGTGGCCAATGCTGAAGCACAGAGAGACCTCCCCTGCCTGTGAGGGCATCTTCTAAGGGGGTAAGAACATGGGATCCAACACCTGTTTGTGCAACCCTAGAGCAGGTGGATTGGGGATCTTCCTGTGCTGAAAAATGTGGTGTCTGAGACAAAATGTTTGAAAACGTTCTGTTTTGATGGCACCAAGGCACTGGAGCTGTGTATCACATCTGGCTGAAGCTTTGCAATCCCCAGAGGCTTCCCAGCCTTCCACCCAGGAAGTGATGCTTGTGTTTCCCTTTGTAAATAAGATTTTTTAAAAAAACAAAACAAAACAAAAAACAACAAACCTGACATGGTGAGACTGTGAAAAGGCAAATACACCCAGTGTCTGGCACAGGCTTCCCCCTGCAGGCCCCGAGCACCTCCCTGTGCTGTGGCTGTTCCTGGCAGTGCTGTGTGTGGTAGCACCTTCCTGGGGGGGCCGTGTTCGTGACTGGGGCTCGATGCTGTGGAAGGACAGGAGGGTGCACCTTGTTGTCAGCCCTGTGGGATGCTCCCCTCCTCCTGCTGGCAGGTTCTTCCCTGCATGTGAAACTATGAGACCTCTTAGCACCAAAGGGGGGGTGTTGCTCCCAACCCTCCCAAAAGCCAGAGGCTCAGCCCTTAGTGCAGGGACAGGAGCTCTGCAGCACCTCATCCAGCGTGAGGGGGCTGAGCTCCCCGGCTTGTCTTCCCTCTTCCCCTTTGCTCTGCCCTCATCCCCAGCCCAGCAGGATTGTCCCCACCACAGCTCCCAGCTTACATCCCTGCTGATGGGTTGCAGGGATGGAAGGACCCTACAGAAGGGTCTCCTCACCCAGAGCAGCTTCAGGTTTGCTGGCCAGAGACCCCCAACCCCTCTCCAGGAGCAGCACCCCTGGGGAGCCAAAGCCCAGAGCAGCAGGACTGGTCATGAGTGTGGTCTCGTGTCTTGCAGGCAGTGTCCTCGAGGCCATCACCTCTCTTTTTGTGGGGAGGGAGGGGTCTCAGTCCCTTCCTGTGGCGCAGGGAGAGGGGAGAAGTGACATCCCCAGTCACCAGCCCCCTGCCCTGCTCCAGGGCCTCTCCCCAACCCCCAGCTGTGCGGTTGTATTATATATTTACCACTAACCCAGTCCTGATGGTGGCATCTTCCTGCAAACATTTCAGACCTGTAATTTTTATATAAAAACAAATAAACACCAGTAACAAACCTGCCTGATGATCCTGTTTACAGTGCATGCAGCAGTCTGTGGATTAAAGTGACAATCGAATCCACTTCTGGTTCTGGTGTGGCCTCGTGTTTTCCCACGTGCCTCTCGGGGTTTGTGCCTTTTATTCATCCCCTATAAGTCTCTTCCTTGCCTCCCAGTGAGATGGTCTTGCCCAGTACACTTGATGGGGGGGGGGAATATCTGCCCTTTCCTCTGGGCACTGGAGGGTTTCCACTCCCCAGAGCACCCGTGGGCAGGCGTGTGCCCGGCCACAGCCCCACAGCCACATGCTGGCAGGGGAGGGCTATAAATAACCCCTGTGGTGGCGTGGGCAGCTGGGCAGGCTGCTGCACTATTCCAGTCCTGGACAGGGTTCAAAATTCCTCTGGAAATTATCGGCCAGCTCGGGAGGAAGATGCCCAGACACTGACTTGAGCACATAACCAACCACCCGCTTGCAGGTGGCAAAGTGTGGGGGCTGTGGGTGCCCCCAGCAGCCAGACCCAAGCGTGGCTGTGAGCAGAGCACAGGGAACACGTGCATCCCAGCCTTGGAAAGACCCACCAGCTCATCCTGCCCTTCCCCACAGCCTCCTTGGCAGTGGCACCCCCAGCACACGCCTTCCCTCGGGTCCCCCCCAGGGTCCTGCTAAGTGGCACCCCCAGCACCACCCTGGTTTGGGAGGAAAACCCTTATTGGTGGACAAAAGCCACAGGGAGAGGGGAAAAGGTCTTTATCATGTACAGAAAACAGAACCTTTGGCTACACCCATGTTTTATTTCAATCTGGAAGCAGCAAGAAGGTGGCCACGCAGCCTGTGTGTGTTATTTGTGTGTCCACAATCACCGTAGGAGCTAAATGGGTGGTTTTATTTCTTCTCACATCAGGAATTACAGGTGAGGGCTTCTCACATGCCCAGAGCAGCAGCTGGGGGTGGAGGGGCAACATGCCTTGGCCTCTCCTTTAGGCCTGGGCCATTTCCTCCATCTCCAGACCCAATGCCCCCATGACAGAGTCCACAGAAACTGGATTCAACATCCCACAGCAGAGCCTGATCCTGGACGTGGTGCTGCTGCTCTGACAGCTCCTTGGCTCCAGCAGGGCACGGTGCTGGGTCCGTTCTGCCCGTGCCATGGTTCAGGGGGCTGAGGCAGCTCCAGAGCTGCTCCTCACCCACCAGGAAGGATGGACACTGCTCCTTGGCCCCAGTAACACTTTTGTGGTCCCCCAGTTTCCCACAGCAGCCCTGGCGATGCCACCCGGGGGCTGTGGCTGCATCTCCTGCCCCCATGGCAAGGAGCCCCCGGCACACGCGTGTCCCTGGGGCCCGGGGCTCTGTCACAGGTACAGGGACACCAGGACGTAGACGACCCAGCTGGTGGAGGCAAACAACCCGAAGAGGAGGCTGAAGAGAACCAGTGACTGGGCCTTTCTGGATGCCACGGTCGCCTGGGCCACGTCCCCACGGCTGAGCGCAGCGCGGGTCTGGCACGGGAGGAAGGAGGGGAGAGAAGAGCACCAGGACGGGGCCTCAAGGCACCGGCTGAGTTTCAGCGTAAACGGGGAGGGGTCCCACCCTTACCTCGTGGGAGTAGACAAGGGCCATGACCCCGGTCAGCACGCAGCAGAAAACTGTCACCAGCACCGACTCCACCATGTAGTCCTTGGGCAGGGGCTGCCCGCGGGGGGTGGGGGACGGCCCCGGGTGCTGCCACACGGGAGGGGTTAGAGCTGCATCACCCACCCCCCCAGCGCCCACCCCCCAGGCTTGGGCACTGCTTGGGACCCCAGAAACCTGGGAGGGAGGGGG